GGGCGAGAGCGGAGGGAGGGGCCGGTGCGGGGCCGACGGACGGGGGAGGGCGTCGGGTGGCGGTGCTTTCGACTGGGGTGGGGGCGAGGACCGCGCCGCTTCGCGCTCCCCGCCGGCGGGCTGGCTCGTCTGGCGGGCGCGGTCGGGCTGTGGCGTTAGGTGAGAGGGATTGCCAGCGGGACGCGCCAGGGCTGCTCTCGCCACCGCACGGCCCCACTCTCTCCTCCGTTACTATAGTTTTTAAAAAAAAAAAAAAAAAAACTCTCGCCCGTTCTCACCCCCACCGTCAAGAAAAGAATTTTTTTTAACGTCCTGTTGCTTCACGGGGGACTTTCGGGGTAGGCGTCACGTGGCCCGACACGTAGCCGTAAGGTCCGACAGCGCGTGCGCGCGTCGAGTCCGGCGGCCACGCCCCTTCCGAGGGTCGCTCCGCCCCTGCCAGGGCCCCGCGAGCGAAGGGGGAGGGGCAGGGCCTGCCGCGCGCCTGCGTGGGGCGGGCCGGGGCCTGGGCGGGGGCTGGCGCGAGGGCGCGCCGTGGGCGGGGGGGGAAACGACCGGGCCGTCGGACCCCCAAGTGGCGGGGTGGGGGCCAGAAGCTGCCGGAATCCTCGCTCCCTGGTGTCGGGTTCTCCTCCGCAGGACGCGTCCCCGCGGTCTCTGATTTCGAGAGCCACGCTGCGGGAAGGAGCCTGACGCGCGGCGGGCCCCGCGTGGGCGCCCCTCGTCGCCCCGACGGCGTCGCCACTACCTCTGCAGTAGCTGTCCCAGTGGCGGGCGCGCCTCTAGGGACAGGGTCCGCCTCGGTGCGGTACCCGTTAATCCGAGAGCCGGCCGCAGTTAGGAGCGAGCCCCGCGCTGGTCGAAATAAGGAGGGGGACGTGAGCGGTGTGGGCGATGTTGCACTCCGTGATGGCATCGGCATCCACTTCTGAAATGCAGCCGCAGTAAATGAGAGCGTGTCCCGAGTTCGAACGGTGGAAGTCAACATTCACATTTGCCAACTTGTAAAAATAATGCTACATTGGGCAGGAGGGTTTTCCATGCGGTATGATGGATTTCAAATATTTAGGTTTGTTTGGGAAAGACTTCTGAACTGCAACAGTGTAGCCCTCTGGTTTATAGAATGTTGTCAGTCGCAAAATCTACATCTGCATTTTTCTGCAAGCCTATTACGACATGTTCAATTAATGTAGACGAAATTTAACATCAAACTGACCATGGTGAGAGCTACAAGTGGCTGAAATCTGTTAATCATGTCTACTGTGTTTTAGCTGGGAAGAACTTACTTGGGGTGTTTTGGTAAAATTTTGCTTCATACTGAGGAACACTTAAGTTTGAGTTGTATTGAAACTAGCTGAATTTCAAACAAATACTCTTTGAGTAGCAAGTAGCTTCTGTTCAAGGAACATTGTTTCTAAAATTAAGCTACTTTGCTAGAGGAAGTGGAATTGCCCTGCAGACAAAGTTGAAAACAATTAACTCTAAAATATTTTAAGAAGTTCTACTTCCATTGTTGTTAACAGAGCCATAGAATATTCACCTACTCAATTATAAATTTAAAGGGTAAATTTTGTAAATGCAAGAAACAGTATTTTGATTTAAAAAAAAAAACCTGTTGCCTCTTTAAAAACTAATGTATGCTGCTTCAGTATGTAGCAAAATAATAGGTATTTTAGAGGGCACTAAACTATTCATGTAATTTGAAAGCATAAAAGATTTAATTCCCCTTCTTAATCAGTTTTCTTATTTATTAAGCTCCCAGGCCCTGTGCTAAATCCTTTACATGTATATCTCATTTAATTTTCAAGGCAACCTTGTAATTTAGGTATGCTATTATCCCTATTTTGTGTAAGGGGAAAACACAGGGAAACGGGGGTTAAGTAACTTCGCCAAGCCTATAACTCATGAGTCCTGGATCTGGGATTCAATTCCACTTATATTTTATCCTATGTTCTTCACCCTTTTACTAACACTATCTAATAAGTCAGGTTGAAACTTTTGACGATGTTCCACCATTGTTGATGGATAGAAATCACAATTTCATATGGCTCACCTGGTTCTTCTAGGTGAACCAGATCAGAGTTAAAGAACAATAATCAATATTCATGTCCCATGTATTAAATCTCATGTGGTTACAGCATTTATAATAGCTACTATGTATTGCCTTTTCAAGTATACATAGGTCACTTCTCTGCTCACAGTTCTTCCATGTTTCCCCTCTCAGATGAAAAACTCAAAGACCTGATCGAGGCCTTCAAGACCCCACATGCTCTGGACCCTGCTGTCACGCTGACCATCTTTCTTCTCTTCCCCTAGCACACTGAGCTCTCCCCCGGAATCCCTTCCCATCCTTAAACAGGCCAAGCATGCTTTCTACTCCAGGATTTTGCACCTGGTGTCTCCTCTCTTTGCAGAGCATTCCTCACACATCTATAAGCTTGCCTCCCACGCTTTCTCAGGTCTTATCAGAGAAGGTTCCGCTTACCACCCTGTATGAGATAACGCATGCAAGTACACATACACACACTCCCTCTCTATTCTATCTGCTTACCTCCCCCCCTTTTAATTCTTTTCATAGCATTTATTTCTACCTCACATGTTCTATGGGTAAATTTGCCTCTCACCTCCCCCTACAATGTAAACTCCATGAGAGCAAGGGCTTTATTTTGTTCTGTGTGGAATTCCCAACACCTGGAACAGCACAGTACATGTAGGCACTCAAAAAATAGGTATATTCAAAAAAGTATTAAGTAGTTCTGCACTAGGAACTGTGCAAACCCCTTACCTATATTCTTTTAATCCTTAGAGCAAACATTTTAGATGTGAAGAGCCAGACTTCAGAGGAGAGATGGTTGATGCTTCAGAGTAGTAAGTAGTTGGTCCCATACAGGCAGAACCAGGTCCATGCAGGGAGATGCCTCTGGAGACCACTGTGCTACCCACCATATCCCTTTTCTCTCTCACACTCCTGCCTCAGACCTTTTAGGTACCATCTTACCCCATTAATTACCTAACATATAACAAGTGCATGAAGAATACAAAAATTGTTGGGATACATCACGTGCCTTCAAGAAGCTTAAAAATCTAAAAGTTATTATGGAAAGACTAATCACATTATTACAAAAATATCTTTACAATATTCACAAGTTACAGTGTACACATGGGCGAGCTTCATCTTGAAGATCTTTATAATAGCTTTTTCACTGTGAAAAACTGTCATCTAA